TTTGTGGGTCCCTTGGGGCCTTGAGTTTAGCCCCTCCTCTGTGGGGACGCTCTGAGCGCTGCCCTGGGCACCGTGTGGGAGCCCGTGAGCTGTCCTGCTGTCTGTCTTCCCTGTTGCTCAGTCCATTTGTGGACACAGATGTTCTTGCTGCCACAGCTCGGGCTGACCAGCTGCTTGGCCAGGCAATCCAGGCAGACGGCGGGCAGGGCTGGGCTCCCTGGGACCGTCCTGACCTGCGGCCACTCTGACCTGCAGAGCATGGGGGCCCCACACATCCCAGGGCGGACGGTGCTTTTCCAGCGGGAGAGGACGGGCCTGACCTACAGGGTGCCCGCGCTGCTCCTGGTGCCCCCTGGTCCCACGCTGTTGGCCTTTGCGGAGCAGCGACTCAGCCCCAGCGACTCTCATGGCCACCGCCTGGTGCTGAGGAGGGGCACACTGGCTGGGGGCTCCGTGCAGGTGAGTGGTCAGCACAGAAGTGTGGGGTCCTGACGCAGGCAGCCTGGATGGGGAGGCTGAGGCCCAGTTCCTGAGCGCCCCCTGTCCTGGGCCCAGGCCTTGGGCATCCTGGCCAGTCACACTCCTCCTCTGGCAGTGGGGTACTCTGCGTGTGCTGGGGACAGCCGTCCTGGAGGGGCACCGCTCCATGAACCCCTGCCCAGTACTGGACACAGCCTCAGGCACCGTCTTCCTCTTCTTCATCGCCGTGCTGGGCCACACCCCCGAGGCTGTGCAGATCGCCACTGGCAGGAACGCGGCCCGCCTCTGCTGTGTGACCAGCTGTGACGCTGGCCTCACCTGGGGCAGCGCTCGGGACCTCACTGAGGAGGCCATCGGGGCCATGGTGCAGGGTAGGCTGGCCAGGGAGGGTGGCTCCCCTTCCCCACAGGCCACCTGGGACCTCCTGCTGGCCCTGCCAGCCGCCTGCTGAGACAGGCTTCAATCCCACTCTCAGGACTGCCTGGCCCCCAGGAAAGCCTCATTCCCAGGCAGACGGGATTAGTCCTGCACCCCACAGCCGGTGGGCAGGCCCGGTGCCTCCAGTGGACCTAAGGCACTGTCCTCTCCCTGGCCTTGACTGTCTGCTGAGGCTGAGATCTGGCTTCCAAACCCATGGCCTCCCACCCCCATGGCCTCCC